ATATAAACTATCACAAGAACACAAAAATGGCGATTTGACCATATACTTTACTTGTGAATAACGGTAGGTGGAATCAATAAGAGCAAGAATTTCAAAGAACAGATTACAAGAATCCAAAAACAGATTAGAACACCGATCAATAACAACATTTACCTTACTACCCATGAACAACAGTTCTTCCCCACGCTGTGTCTTCCATGATAGAACCTGACCTCCATGGCAACTAACCTACATTGATTTCACAGAACAAGAAGCAAAGAACGATTAACTCCATTGATAACCAACCATGAAAAGGTACAAGAAAGAGAAAGAAAGATTGCTGACCTCAACAGTAGCCCCCTTAGGATTCCGAAGCAAAATCATCTCAACTCCATTCCCATCCCTTCCAATTTCAACCGATCCTCTCAGACTCTGATCACTGGCTGCCGCAGAACCAGCCATGGCAAAAACCCAAAGCAGGAAACAAAACAAGAAGAAAGAAAACTCTACTGTATATCTTTTACTCTCTTTCTCTGTAAAATGAACTAGAAAATATATGGAGGAGTAGAGGGTCTTATATATAGCAGTTGAGAATCTGGACTTCCCTCCATGCTATTTGGATAAATTTTTATCCGAATTTCTCGGGAAATAATAACTAACTACCTTACCCTTTCTTCACCCCTAAAACTGCCAAGAATGGGAAATCCAACAGAATACAAGACAGAAAAGAAATTCTCAAAACAGTCCCAATTCTGTTACTGTGAAAGAGCTAGAAAACAGAAAAAACGAAACTGTCATCTGGGTTCGAAAGATAACCAAAAAAAAAGGGGTTAATTCCTCAACTGAAATTCATCCAAGTGCGCGCCAGTTTTAAAGCACCAATAGGAGGGATTTATGTTTTACATATTGTGCATTAAAAATGCAGTCCACTATATGAATTTAGTAAAACACATCTAACAAAATAATAAATAAATAATTTTATTAAAAATATCTTAATAAATTTATAAAGTAAACTGTGTATTTTTAGAATACAATCTGTCATGTAACTGCATTTTTTTTCACAAACATTTATAGTACTAGAAACGATCGGAAATTCTATTAAAAAAAAGGGAGAATAACAAAGAAGGAATGAAGTTATGCATTTTTCTCAGGCAAAGACATGAATTCAAGGGAACCCATTTTGTATTAGTGAAGGAAGATTGAAAAAAAAAAAAAGTTGAATTCTGAGGAGATCATTTATGTATGAAAGCTCAAATATTATTCTTTAGACCAAGGAATGAAGGAACCGGTGTGAACAGGGGACCGTGTTTAACTGAATTAACGACCCACTGAAAAAAACAAAAAATCCTTGGGCGGGGGACTTCAATCATAGAGTAACATGAGTGTATAAGTCACATGGAAGTCCCCCAAGGAATTTTTTATTCACACATCCCCAGAAAAAGGGATGTTGTTACTGAACAGGGAGAGTTTTGATAGTTCATAGAATAATTAAAATCAATACTTGTCTATAAATGAAATGCAAGGAATAAAGGGGTAGGACAAGATAATCTTATTCTTTTCCTTCCTCGACTACCGATTAATCTTCACTTTCCTGTTAATGGGTGTTAAGAGGTGTCATAGATTTAGGGGTAACTATCTCTTCATCTTACATAAATACGAAGAACCGTAGCCTATGGTTGTTAAGGATATTAAACCGCCATAGTCTGTAGAGGTAATGAGGCAAAAAAGGTCGATGCTAATTTACAACAACCAAAGACATACTGCCATGAATCCTCATATTCTGCAGCCCTTTTGTCAAAATTTCTGTAATATTACAACTTTAGAACATCTAATAAGACGGGGGGGGAGTGAGTAAATTGTCCAATGCAATAGTGCTATTTTTAGTGATTCCAAGTCCAATGGTTTCAAAGTATATGTTCACTCTAGAATAAACAAATATTTTCCTGAGTGCTCTTGCTGTGTTTTTATCTATTTGGGTTTATTCATTTCTGGTATGAATTCTTCCTTCTGAGAAAATTTCAGTTTTTGGTAGGGACAATGCTCAAGGGAAAAGATTGTCTTCTGGGTATGGCCATTTACTGGGTTCACTGTTTTATTTTCTGTGGTTTAAGAAATATTTGGTGTTTATTGATGATCACAGATGTTTGTCTCCAAAGGCATGAATTTTATTTTGGTTTATCATGATTAGCTGTTGTTGATGTTTGCTAATGGCTACTGCATTTTAAGTTGGAAAATAAAAAGAAAAGAAGTTTCATTTTTTTTTTCTAATATTAATCTTGCTTCTGTTGAAATAGAGCTTCTTGATTTTTATTGTTTAGTTTACATTTTTTTTTTCTCTATTTGTAATTCGTTGCCATTTACTGCTGTTCTCTTGCTACTTCTAGAATGCAGGGCCATTTTGAGTGGGTAGGAACAGGATGAACAAGTGTGCGGATCAAGGGATTCAACAATGGCATAAAAGATTTGTCTACATCTAGCTGGAATTACAAGGTATTTTTCATTATCATTATTTCTCTTAATTATTCCAGCTTTGTTTTTCATTTCATTTTCTCATATGCTTATGTAATATGGACCAAGGGCACGGTGTGAGGGTATGCATTTGCTTTTTTTGGTATATTCAGATTGACATAAAGTTCTGATCTTTAGCATACCTCTTTTTTTCTTCTGTTTTTGTTGGCAGAAGCAATTATCTTGTATTTGGAAACACCAATTCGAGTTGGGATCTCTTATTTCACTGATTCCTTCTCTTATGGGTCTGTCAGTCGCAAGATCACTGGTAAACATCATGTTCTGACCTTCCCGTCCGTATATTTTTAGTACATAAGTCTAGGTTAATAATTTGGAATTGATCATGGAAACCAAATATCAATGCGTGCTTTTTAAAAAGGCAACGAATTGATCATGGAATGTAGAAACCAAATATCAATGCGTGCTTTTTAAAAAGGCAACGAATTGATCATGGAATGTAGAAACCAAATATCAATGCGTGCTTTTTAAAACGTTGCCTTTTTAAAAAGCACGCATTGATATTTGGTTTCTACATTCCATGATCAATTCATTACCTTTCTAAAAAGTACGCATTGATATTTGGTTTCCACCTTCCATGACCAGTTCGTTGCCTTTTTAAAAGCACAGATTAACAAACCAAGTATCAATTCGTTGCCTTTTTAAAAAGCACGGATTAATACTTGGTTTCTACATTCCATGATCAATTCATTACCTTTCTAAAAAGCACGGATTAATACTTGGTTTCTACCTTCCATGATCAGTTCATTGCCTTTTTAAAAGCACAGATTAACAAACCAAGTATCAATTCGTTGCCTTTTTAAAAAGCACGGATCAATTCTAAATTATTAACTTCGACTTATGTATTAAAAAAGAGCAGTGCTAGGGGCACTCGCCTCCTGCACTCTCCGGCCAACACTTCCCCTTTCATTAGGCCACGTCATTTTAGTTTGAAAGAGGTGACAATTCAAAGCCTCAAACAACATTACGTGGCCCAGTGAAAGGGGAAGTGTTAGCCGGCGAGTGCAAGAGGCGAGTACCGCTAGCACTGCACATTAAAAAAAGCACGGTCCAATGATCAACTACTAACTTGGACTTATGTATTAAACAGGAGGGGAAGGTCTTGTCATAAGTCCAAAAACGTACCGTCTTATGATGAGACCTCCATGCACGTGAGAGTCTATGTTTTCCATTCTCTGCTTATAAATTGCCCCATTTCAGTTCTCACACTTCATTCTCCCTAATCTTTCAACAAATTCTTCACTAAGTGCAGGTTTTCGAATGGAAAATTTGAGGGTGGTTCTCACAACAAGAGCTGTTACTCGTTATGGGATTGCCTCAGGCAGGGTCAGTGCGTCCAATCGGCACTTTGTTGAAGAAATGCCCAGGATTCCACCAGAACAGAAGTCAAGACCGTTTCTGGCTAGGCATATGCAGGGGCGCCGCATTTATCACCTTGAGTACAAGAGGAGGATGGTGGGGATCCGTCCGAAGCAAACAATTACTGGTTTAAGACGCTTCTTTCGAGAGCATGGTTTGCAACCTGGGGATCGAATTACTTTGTACAAGGAGGAGGGCAATGAGATGATATTGATGGGACAACTCATCTCTCCACTCTATGTGATCCACTTTGAGAGGGTTAACGAAGTTGCAGCTGGTGAAGATCCCGCTCGGTTGCAGGCTGGTGATGATCATGCTCCTTGAGGATTAACGAAGGTGTTTTCTTTTTTTTTTTTTTTTTTTTTCTTATTCTTTTTTGGTTTTTTTCACGTCTTTCTGTTGTGGTTTTTCAATAAATGTAATTCTCTAGCCTAAAACCTTCTTTCAAGAGCATGGTTTGCAACCGGGCGATCTAATTACTGTGTACGAGGAGGGGGACAATGAGGTGATCTTGATGGGAAAACTCGTCTCTCCACTCTATGTGATCCACTCTGAGAGGGTTAACGAAGTTGCGGGCCGCTGAGGATCGTACTCTTTGAGAAAGCCAAATCAGCCTGTTAAAAGATCAAGGCGTTTTCTGTTAGTTTTTTCTTTTTTGTTTTGGTCTTTTTCATGTCTTGCAATAGTGGTTTGTTTGGTGTTGGTTTGTAGTGGTTTTCCAATAAATGTAAGGTTAAAACTCCATTTTGGTCCCTCAACTATTGTACGGACCCCTGATTTGGTCCCTGAACTAAAAAAATCCTTGATTTGGTCCCTACTGTTTACCATTTTGACCCCGATTTGGTCCTTCCGTTAAAAACTGGCTTACGTGGACCGTTACTTGACGGAAAAAAAGGTGACAATTTAAATATCTTGCCACATAGGATTGATAATAAAATAAATTATAAAAATAAAATTATTAAATGTTAAATTATAAAGATAAAATTACATTTTTACCCTTTCTTCAACCACACCTTCCTCCTTTTGTTGCCCCTTGCTTCCCCGTTACTTTACATCTCCAACCTCTTTCGTTGTTCATCTTCTTCCCTTGGATCCTTGTTTGCCGGCTTGGGTTTTAATCTTCTCCTTTCCTCATCTCCTCATCATCTCTTTCCTTTCATGATTTACCATCTCTTCTTCGAAACCCAACAGATCTGCTGGGTTCTTGACAACCCAGCGATCTGCTGGGTTCTCAAGAACCCAGCAGATCTCTGGGTTCGATTTCGATTAATCGAACCCAGCAGATCCGCTGGGTTCTTCGATCTGTTGGGTTTGATTTCCAGCGATCTGCTGGGTTCTCGAGAACCTAGCGATTTGCTAGGTTTGATTTTTTTTTTTTTAAATATTTATGTTTAGAAGCTTGAATTTTAGGGATATTTTTGGGTTGCAGCTGATTGTTTTGCTAATGAATATTTTGTTTGTGTGGGCTATTCTCATTGAGAATTTGACAAAAATTGGTTGAGGGAAAAAATTTGCCCATTGCTTGTAATTATAGAACATCTGCTGGGTTCTTGAGAACCCAGCAAATCACTAGGTTCGATCAAGAACCCAGCGATCTGTTGGGTTCTCAAGAACCTAGCGATCTTCTGGGTTCGATTTCTTTTTTTTTTTTTTTT